TTAATAATACTATTTTATCAAAGTATTTACAAAATTTAATTTAATTTAATTATTAATAATAGATATAAACACTTGCATTCATACGCCGGGCGAACCTAGGTAAAAAATTTTATCTAAAATTTATTTTCCAAAATAAAAATTGTTGGCTGTGAATGGTTTGAATAAATAACTTATCATTTAGTAAATAAAATTTAAGTTCAAGATATATATCGTATGTTTATATAAATATTACAGCTTAATGATGACTATACTACTCTGAATATTTCAAATTAAAATAATTAATTATTTTTAAATGTATTAAGATTGAATTTTATCTAAACCACATTTAGTTTATAAAATTTAAAAATAAATTATGACATTAATGGAATCACTTTTGTTAACAAGCATAAAAAATAAAACTTACAATTTAATGCTATATTAATTATAACAAAACTAATTACAGTTTATTGTTTTTAAATTGATTTCTTTGTAGTTATAACAACTAATGGTATCAATACTACAGCTATTGATGATACTATAGGTGAGTGTGAGATACAGGTGCTCACTGGTGAGAGAGACACATGAGGTACACGTGTTGATGAATAATAGATGATATTCAAGGATAGGGAGTATGTACTGATCGTTACCACGTAATTGATATTATTATTATTGAAAATAATATGTATATAATATGAATGGAAAAATTTCACATAAACAGACTAGTTTATGTCAGTGTTTATTAGGCAATATATTTAATTAGGCAATTTATTCTGGATCACTTAGTAATTACAGCACAAAAAAATAATATAATTGAATATAGTTATTTTTGTATATAAATTGATCAATTAACTAACATAATATGTTTTATAACATAATATATTATATTATTATATTATTAAAGTCGCACACAGTTTTATATTATAAACCATTGCATATACCGTAGATTAACAGTGAAATTAAAGTACTCAAAATATTTTTATAAAATCTATCATTAAATATAGTAAATTATGATGATTCATCCAGTAAATAATATTGAACTAGATAAAGTATTACCTGGCTCATTGGTTATTGCGAGGGCCGGTACCCATCTCTACAGTATTGGTCTCTCGCGCTATAAGCCATTGAATGCCACAAACAGACCACTAATTCATCGACCGTTTGTTGTGTTTTGGTTTATATTCATTGAATATATTTTGCGGTCTTTAATAGTAATCATAATTCCCGCACAAAATCTCACATTTTATGCTATGATTGGCGATGAGACCTATTTTATGGGTATTAGTATACAAATGTCTACTTTATTCATAATACTAGGAATTATGGCCATTTCCTCGCAACTACTCAATTACCATAACTATAGTCGAGGTGTAAAACCGCGGGATTTGCGGGTATTTGAGATGCTTTCGGGTTTAATAACACCCATTAGTATTGGTATTCATGATAAACATATTGTCTATAAATTGCTCACATTTTCACGAAAATGTATTAAAATCACAGAAATTGTAACACGATTTGCAGTTATCATAATATTTTGTGGTGTATTACTTATATTTTCAATGAACCTACCGGTGCATCAAATAATTTTATTTGCCATTCCCCATGCTATATTATTAACGATAGCTAGTAATTATATAAATAGTATAATAATCTGGCAATTACTGTATTATTTGATTATAACATATTATTTATCATTGAAAATACAATCAATTAATCACTCATTTAATAATATTAATAATAAGAAAATTAATAAATTTTCATTAAATATAATACATAAGCTAGATGATCTAATTTCAGAAATCAATGAATATAATACGAATTATTGGTCAATATTTTTAGGTATTTATTGGATGCTAATTACCTTGGTCACAGCAATATTACTATTTGCATCTTTATACGCCACAGTAGTTATGTTTGTCAACATGGTGATATTTATATTATTTATTGAGATATTGTGTAGCCTATTACTTATTATACACTGTTCATCACAAATTAATAACCAAGCTTACAAATCATATAAACTAATATACGATCATTTAGTTCAGCATAAATTAATATTTTTTGCTAAATTAAAGGTTAGTTTTTTAACATTTTAATTTAAAATTAATAATAATTAGCTTTCTTATAAACTAATGTACTTTGTAGATGATAGTACTATTGGAAAGACTATCTCAGAAAAGGGTTGGCTTTTACTGTTGGAAACTATTCCTGATCAATAGATTCAGGGGATATGAGGTAGGTGATTTTTGAAAATATTTTCTAATTAATGCGTAAAGTAAATTTATTAATTTATTATTTTACCTGTTTACAGATATTAAGTTTAATTGCAGTATTATTTTTGAAAATTATTGAATTTAAATAAACAAGTTCTATTATTAAAATAAATTTTTATTTACTTTTCTGTTAATGTAATTATATAATAAATAACATTGTAAATTACTACTGCATCAACTTGATAATAATTATTATTAAATATTATATATTTATACTAAAATAAATGAATTCACTATAAATGGAAATTTTTTAAAAGTTTTTATATGGTGAATAATAAAATAGAGAATTTAATAGATAATTATAAACTTAATATTTAAATGGTTGCTTTGTTAAGTGTCAAATAATATATTTATCAAATTTTACTTTTAATAATTTTAAGAAAATTGTTAATTGTACAGTTTTTATTTTTAATGAAGTTATCTGTTTTTAATAAATATAATGTCTAATTTATAAATAATAAATCATTTTTTTAAAATATAGGAATGAATCATAACATACACTCATTGTAAAAATACAAAATATTAAATGTTTAAAATTACAGCTTTTAATTATTAAAAATGAAAATATTTTTATACGAAGTGTTGCACATCTATTAAAATATAAAATTACATTATTTAAAATATTTAAAGTAAAACATTTGGTTACATTCCAATTAACATTCACTTATAAGTCATAACATACAGTATTTGTAACTTCAAGTTTTTATTACAGCTTGCACCGCTTTTATTATTATTAGTACAGCACTATACTATCAGGTTATTTGGAAAATTTAACTATTTTAAATTAATAATAATAATAATAATCTTTACCTAATTTAACCAAATTTGTACCAAGATATACAAACAATTGTGATTCATTTAAAATAAAAATCTTAAATCTTAGGGGTAATGTATTTTAATAAATATAAACGAGATTTGTATTTCATTTTCAATAATAAAATTTTTAAAACGTTAATCTAGAAATTATTTTACAAAATAAAAATTGTGTTTTTTGTATTTTTATTTTAAAAAAATATTAATTGCAAGCATGTGAATTATTCGGAGCCAAGTTTAAATATACTAAACTATTCAGGCAACTTATTTATTACTTAAGGTTTTTATTACAGCTTACACATTGTTTATTAATAATAATAATACTACTGTATACTATCAAATTAGTTACATAATTAAATTATTTTTAATTAGCAATTTGCTAGCATCATTATATACATTTAGAAAATTGTGTTAAATATTAGGACGTGCAAGCAACAATTTGTTTATTTTCATGAGTATCACAATTATAAATTAAACTGTAATTTAATCATAAAATGCAATTCATATAAAATAATGGTGTTAAAAATATATGATCGGACTGGACTGCACTATACCACTAAATAAGCATATTATTTTTATAATATTAGTAAATTAAATTTATAGGGTGACCACTTTCACATATTTATTATATTTAAGTTAGCAAAAATTCTATTAAATTTATTATATTATTAAAAAATATTACCTAAAAATGCTGATGGTAAATTATCATCACACATAGCAAATAATGGGTCAGAGGTCAGTAAAAACACAAACAGTATGCCAGAGTTGGTTAGTGCCGGTGACTCCAGGTAGGCGTCGCATACAATGATGTCCAGCCTGACAGTCCCCACAATCTCCTTATACTGTGGCTCCGCATCGCGTAATCGTTTGAAAAATAGCTCAAAAGCTCGCGACACAAATTTGTCGGCAATTTGAATCGGGGTCAGTTTGAACACGTGTTTCAGTTGTGTGATAAACTGGGTCACCGCTAGCGAAGTTTTATTAACAATATACATCTTATTTGTAACTTAAAGTTTTTATTACAGCATATACAGCAGAGACATCAAAAGTTGTTTTTTACAAAAAATATGTACAACATATTTAATTTAATTTATATAGACTATCAGTAGATAAAGTACTTTACAAACACAAATATCATTACTATTTTTACATATTTAAAGTGAACGGTAAATGTGAAATTTCTAGACATTTCTATATTGATTTTTAGTAGAGAATTATAGTTTCAAAAATATTCACGAACTTAACTGTTAGAAACTAGTCAGATATATTTCTATGAGTTAATCATTATTTTAGACATAAAAATACTAAAATAAATGCTTGATTTAAAAATTACAGTTTTTAACTTACAGTTAATATTCTAAAACTCTCACTCACACTAATGTGTAACATATTTGTGAGCCAAACATTTAAAGGATATTAAAAATGTTTGAGAGTTTGACTCCTTGGAGTCAAACTTTGAGGAGTCTGATATACAGTGTTTAATATTAATAATGCGACTTTTTTTTGCACCGCTTGAACCCTGTGCATCCCGGGCACCTCAGATTATAATTTTGCCCTTGATGTCTAATTAGCTTTAAATAATTATAACTCATTTATTTCAGTTTAATTTGTAGTAATGCCATTATTAATACCATGTTACTATTAATTTAATTTATATTAATTAAATGTAATTTATGTGGCTAATACAGATACGCAGTTTATTTTTAAAACAAATTACTGTAAAAATAAATTTATATTTCAAAAAGGTGTCATTTATATCATATCCAAAATTAAATAAACCAAAACATGCATAAACCATATTTCTAACTTTAAGATTATATTACAGCTTACACAGTTTTTATAATAAGTAATACAATACTATAATTTTAGTTGCAAGATTTAATTATAATTAATAATATTAATCATAATAATTATTATTACACTGAAAATTATAATCAATTATTTTTTGCTGACAATATCCTCGATAATATCGGCGATCACTCGCTTATCATTAGCCGCCCTAAGCCTCTCCCCAATCGCTTTCATACGTCGGCCCAACTCGACATCATTGACCATATCGTCTACCGTTCCCAACAACTCGGCGTCCGTACAGTGGAATGGGTTTAACCGTAGGCCGAGCCCTGACTCCCGTACCCGTTGGGCGGTGTCGTATTGATCGCCGTACAGCGGCATCGCCAGCACCGGTACGCCGTAATAGAAGCACTCGTTTACCGTACCGTTCCCTCCGTGGGTGATCACCAAATCCATTAATGGTAGTAGCGCTGTCTGTGGCAGGTAGGGGGCGCCCCACATGTTGTCAGGTAAGTCATACCTGGATTCAAAGTAGGTATAAATATTTTAAACATTTTATTTAGAGTAATAATTAGCATAATAATACTAATTTAAAATAGTAACTTAAATTTAATTAAAATTGGCATCCTAATAGTAAACTGTTTTAAAATGACTATTTTAATATTATGTTCTAGGTAAAGTTATAACATTGGTGACTTGGTGACAAAACATTTATATAAGTTAACAAGTTAATTTAATACAAGTTACTTTTCTAATTTATAATTTTGTTATAAATGAGCCTGTTTTATCTTAAGATTATTTACCATTATTAAATTGTTAACATAATCCAGATTAATTATTTTTTTACAGCAAATTATAAATATTAACAAAATATTTAGCAAGATAATATTCATACTTATCGTGTAGGGGCCCTTTATTCACAATGAACCGGTGCTTGGATTTACCCAATACCCGGGTCAACCTAACCATTAAGTCCAGGTGCGCACAGCCCATAGAGCCCAACGATAGTAGGCATAACTTCCCCGATTTACGACTTAACGGCTCCGGTATTACAAATGTGTCACCTGTATCTCTTACAAAGCCATTAACTCGACGCCATACCTGTGCCCCCGGTTGCTGTGATTTATAGTCCAGTTCCTCTGGGGTCTGGTAGATGTTGAGATAAGGGGACCGGGGGTGTAGGCCCCAGTTTGGATGAGTTGACGGTAAGGGAGGCGCGCCGTTAGCCACAAGCCATTTGTCGTAGTCTTGACGTAATTGTGCGAACATTTCGTTCAAATTGTGTCGGATTTCCGTCCATTTGTCCCGATTTTCGTTTAGAGGTAAACCTATCGTTAGTTTAAAATTACTAATTATTATTATTATTGATTCATTCAATTTATTTACTGTATATCATTAATATAAATTAAAAGTTATGGTCAAATGTACACATAGGATGATACTGTTGACTGATATTCACAACTGACTGATGTGCCAAATTGGCATGCACTTGATGTATCAGACATGGAATTCCTTTAAGGCTTTCCTATGGGTATCGGACCACTTATAGTTTGGTAAAACACATTCGACGCATTAATTAAAAATTATTTTATGTAAAGTTGACAGTTTTTGTAAAATGCAAATATACATTAAATAATATTACTGTATAGTTTAAAATATTTTGGTATTCATTTGCATATAAATTCCGAAAATGTAAATTCATAATGAAGTTAATTATTAGAACGTTCAAACTAAAAGTTACATATATATATATAATAAATATATTTAACTTTCCGGGTATCAGTGATACCGTATTACAATTATAAATTAAACTGTAATTTAGTCGTGAAATGTTATTCACATAAAATTGTAATTTTAAATATAAATTATCGGGTTAAGAAATTCACACTCACTAAATAAACATGTTATTTTTTATAATATTCAGCAGCTCACCTGTTTACTAATAATATTATTGAGACAAGGCTATGATTTTTATTTTACTCGATACTATTTAAAAATATTACCTAAAAATGGTGGTGGTAAATTATCATCATTCATAGCGAATAGTGGGTCAGAGCTGAGTAGATACACAAACGGTATGCCAGAGTTGGTTAGTGCCGGTGACCCCAGATAGGCGTCGCATACAATGATGTCCGGCCTGACAGTCCCCACAATCTCCTTATACTGTGACTCCGCATCGCGTAATCGTTTGAAAAATAGCTCAAAAGCTCGCGACACAAATTTGTCGGCAATTTGAATCGGGGTCAGTTTGAACACGTGTTTCAGTTGTGTGATAAACTGGGTCACCGCCACCGATGAGTTATTCCTACCACTGGCAATGGGGTACTCTTCGAATCCGTACCTATAGCGTGAGCAGGTTAAATTTATTTTATAATTATGTTATTATTTATGTATCATAATGATTTATAAGAGTTTTTATATATTTAAAGTTTGCAAAAAAATAAAAATAAAAATTTACCGATACTTTCCAAAAATGAATAATTTTAAATTTGTTTTTTAATAAATTTAAAAAATTAGTTAATTGTACAGTTTGAATTTTCAGTGAATCTATGTGTTTATTAATTTTGATTTGGATATGGACTAGATCAAGTTGTTTATAACCTCGACAAAATAATAAAGCATGTTTATAATAATAGTTCAAACTTTAAAACATACTTTTCGAGGCGGCCTTTGAACGCCCTGTCCATTGTGAACACCACTCGGTGTCCGCGATCTCTGAACTCCTCGGCCAACCCGTGACAGGCGTTCACGTGAGCCATGCTATCGGTCGGTGCAAAGAGCACTGTTAGCTTTTTGTTGCCCTGCATATTAAATAACAATTTAAAAACTATTGTTTATGAATTTGTCAATTTTTGTATTATAACAAATTAAAATTTTAAATGCAAAGTAATATGGGATAAGTAACTTACGACTAGAAAACAATTTATAAGCATATATTTTTTATGACGTCAAACGGTGATTGGACAAATTTTTAAATATTTACAGGTTATAACTAGGAATGCAAAAAAAGTGGAAATAAAAGTGGGTATTATAAAGACGGCTACTTGTATCTCTGTGATTAATACACAACTTATTCACTATTTTAATCAATTTTTAATTCTCAGAAATATTAATACATTATAATAATTTTATATGATTATTTGTTTATATTAATACTTATTTGATAAAATTGTTTGACTATTTATTATAATTTTATTTGAATTCGTTGATGACTCAAAATTCAGTATATTTTATTAATCATAATATATTTTTTGATCGATAAATACAAATTTGAGTGTTTTATCAGTTGAATAATAATATAAAATTATTATAATGTATTAATATTTCTGAGAATTAAAAATTGATTAAAATAGTGAATAAGTTGTGTATTAATCACAGAGATACAACTAGCCGTCTTTATAATACCCACTTTTATTTCCACTTTTTTTGCATTCCTAGTTATAAAGAAAGTATTAATACAATTTTTTAAATATTTATTTTTGTACCAAAATAATTATTAGTTTTTAATTTGTATTATTTTATAATTTAAAATAACATATGAGACGCCAAGTGTTGAAAGGTTCTTCTGTATTGTATTTCAGACTGTAATCCGTGCAGTATTGGGTTTAAGTTATACTGAATTTTCATTTTACAATGAAAAGCAAGCAAAACAACTCTTCATTTAAATTGTTTTTAATTAATAATTAATTATTTAATAAATATAAATTATTATAAGTTATAAAAATTAAAAAATATAAGGTATTTTTTCCTCATGTATTTAAACTTACAAAATCTAGAGTGCCTTGTAATTTTTAAATTAAACTTAATTAAATTTTAATTTTAATTAAAAGTTATATTATTATTATAAATAATTAAATCTAGTTTGTTATTAGTTGATAATTTACATAAATATTCTCATTATTGACATTTTATTCGTACAAATTTCATTAAAATTAGGAAGAACCTTTCACGTCTTAGCGACTCATATGATCAAATAATTATTTTGTATAAACTGTAATATAACTAACTTAAATATAATATTTCTATTTAACAATTTAATATTATTTTTTATTGGAAGTTGCTTACAACGGCTTTTTCTCAAATGTTTAAATATGAATCCCAGAGACTCGAACTGACCCATCTCTCAATTCAAATACAAACTGTATTATAAAGTATTTAAACTTAAGTCACATAGCATTTACCAAGTTCACAATGTATTAGCCCATGAAGCATAGCTTAATATTTGTATTGAGAGATGGGTCACTTCGAGTCTCTGGGATTCATATATTTTAATTTTCAAAAATAATATATTATATTTAATAAAATATAATAATAGCTAATGTTGGGTTTTATAAAGTTCTATAGAAATTAGCATTATCTATTTATTATCAAATTAAATTTTTGAGAATATTTTATAAAGCTGTAACAAAATATCTCATTATTAATAGTAATTTGCGTTAAAATATTTTTTAATTTAAAATAAAATGGTCTGTTAATTGTTGAATAATCCTTAAGACTATAAATTTATCATGACATATTTTTATTTTCAAATTCATTGAATAAATATATTTTAAATAAATTAAAATCATGGAATAATCCATAATGTTTTTGATTTAGCTTGTCAAAATAATTTGAGCATATGGTACGTAGACAATTTAAGTTTACAAACATAATTACATGGAATTAATGTTTATAAATGTAATTAATTATTACTACTAAATATGAGTAATTATTATAAAGAATTAACTGTGTTAATATTGTAAGCATGGCCAAATCTGGCAGAATTAAAACATTTAATTTATTATAATTAAAATGGTTTAATGATGTAGATGACAGTTCTGGGTATTATAGTAATTAATTTTAACTATAATATATACTAGCACAAATTACGAACAATTAATTGTCTGTCGAGTGAATATTCGGTAAACAAGAAATAAATTAATTGCCAAATTGCAACTAGTTCATTTGTCAGTCTATAAAATATGTTTAACTCTGATGACATAGTGGTGAGCGGTATGTCCGGTCGGTTCCCACTGTCGGACACCACCGACGAGTTTGCACGAAATCTGTACGATGGGGTCGACATGATTACGGACGATGGATGCCGTTGGCCACCCGGTACGTTTTTGTTTAATAATCATATACAGTAGTGATGTCCAAAGGTTAAAAAACAAAAATATGCCAAAAATAATTTATTTAATTTATATAAATTATCAGTAATTAAACTCTCTAATTCGTATCATTAATAGTAAAGAAAATATTACATTAATTTCTAAAATATATTATAACAATATGTGCTTGATCATTAACAATTACTGCGTGTGTCATATTAAAAGAAATTAGAAAATTAACACAAAAAAATTAATCAAAATTCTATTAAACTGTAATAAAAAGTTGAATATAATATTGTATTAAACAAATTTTAAACTAGTTATTATATGGTGGTTGGGCAGATCAACTACATTTATTTTTAAAAAATAAATAGTGTACACTAAATAGACAATTATTATGTGACTGTCTTAAAATTATTATTCATTATTATTTTAATAGTGTTTACCTAATAATTTATAAAAAAAATTAACATAAACCAAAATTGAACACTTATTAATAATAAGAATTTGAATTCTTTAATAAAAATCTATTTACAAATAAAATCTACTTAAATAGTCTATTGTGTTGCAAATGAAATAATAATTCACATAAAAACTCATAAAAATACTTATGAAGCAGTATTAAAATAAACTTTAAAACTCATTGAATAATATTATGAGCTTTTTACTTTTTTTAAAGTAGTTATACGGTATACTATTACTGTATTTATTATAATCATAATCTAAATTAAATCTAAACATGCAAAATTAATCATAGGCAAAATTTAACCAATAAAATACAGGTCTGTACGGCATATCCAATCGTATGGGAGCCATTGTGAGCTACAACAAATTTGACACCCAATTTTTCGGGTTACCCGATACTACTGCACAACTATATGACCCACAATCTAGGTTACTATTTGAGACATCGTACGAGGCCATATTAGACGCAGGTACATTTTAATTCGTTTATAAAAATCATAAACTCAATTCAAAATTACCTAGGCATAAATCCGCAAACGTTACGTGGCCAGATGATTGGCGTGTACGTGGGTGCTTTCCAATACGCCGAGTCCGATGGGTATGGGGAGTACAATCACCCCGATCAACCTGCTCACATGAACATGATGGTGCAACGTAGAATGGCTAATATGAAAAGTGGCCTGGCCAATAAGTTATCGTATGCTTTCGACTTTAAGGGGCCCTCAGCTACCGTGGACACGGCGTGTTCATCTAGTTTGAGCGCGCTCACTTTGGCAATCAATGATATTAAACTAGGTAATTTGACTGAGACAGAGAGAGAGAGAGAGAGAGAGAGAGAGAGAGAGATAGGTGTAATATATTTAAATTCAAAATTATGCAGATACTAGCTCATTTCTGTTTAATATTCTAGCATTTTAAAGATATTTTTCTATGTTAAAAAATAATAAAGTTTTCAAAATATTGTTAGG